TTTTTGCACTGTTTATGCTTTCATATTTTCTAAGGTTGCTCTGTCAGTTGCAGGATAAAATATCTTCAGAGGCATTTGTGTAATCTCACTAGGGATGTTCACTGTGTAGAATCCTGTGATTTTCTAGTCCTCTAACCTCCCTGTATTATCAGTGAAGATAAACAGGAGCTTTTAGGGTGAAATTAATCTCTCCTATTTTAGATGCATGTCTTTGGATGAGATGAATCAGGATGAGCTGAAGTGCTTTCTTCTCTCTCCTTTGCCTTTAAAGGGAATCAGGCAGCTGGCTCAGCTGTGTACAACTGAAGTTGATGTTCTAAGAAAAAATGACATGTTTTGGTGGGAAAGAGGACAGAAGAGCTATGCTTTTTCTGGATCAGCCTTTTGTGCTCTCTCTGCCTTCCCCCACTCTAAGGCATTTACAAATGATAGGTTATTTTGCCCTCACAAGAGCCAGCTGAAGTTCTTGGTTTCTGTTTTGTGTTGGTGACATTTTTCTCTCGTATGTACTTTTTAGAATACCAAAAGTTTCTGGTCCTTAAAAGACTAATGCTGGACGAGTTTACAGCTCATTTGTATCTCTTCACACATGGCCCCTTGCCCTTGCCTCCTAGCTTCTACATAATCCTCTGTGATGGTTTACTGATTTTTACATTGTGTCCTTCACTGCACCTGCTTCACCAGTTCATTATTTTAAGTGGCTGTCTCCTGCAGTGAGCAAGCACACTGCCCTTTCTTCAGGCCCCTTTCTTAATACCTACATTTTCTGTTTGGTGTTTTGTTGGGTTTTTTTGAGTGTGTGTGGGGGGTTTCTTTATTTGTTTTTGTTTTGTTTTTATGTTTGTTTGTTTGTTTGTTTTAATAGGAAAGTATGACAATGTAGAATAAAGCAAGTTATGATTTTTGTTATACAAATGTATAGATAGAAAAGTGTGATGTCACACCTGTTTTATATATCTCCACATTTCTGAAATTCTTGGGAACTATTTACTAATACAGAACTGTTTTCACAGATTGGGGAATCAGTCTCTGTATGGTCTTTTTGGACAATGCAGTTGGATTCATCTCACCTTCTCTAGATGCCTTCAGTGCAGATACATACATATGAGCTAGTCAACTAAGGTTACTTTTGGTGTGAATGACAAGAGACGAGTGCTTTTAGAGTACAATTCTCCAGACCTGTGTAGAGATCTACTTTAAGATGAGATAAAGTGTACCCAGAAGTGACTGGTGCTGTCCATTAACTGTAAAAAAAGTCTAAACAACAAAAGTAATTGTAGACACTGATGCTACAGATACCTGCTTTTATTCAGATATAGGCCCTCCTGTGTGGCTATACAACAGTGCTGTGTTGTATGCAGTCGTAATATTTTTGTGGGTTCATACGTGAGACTTATTTTTTTTCCTATTAAAGAAAAAAAATGACTACAGGATGCAAGTTGCCACTGAAGCAATTAGTTTTAAGAAATCACATATAATAAAATTAGATAATTCAATGTCCAAGAATTCAGTTACCTTAAATTAATTGTGACCTGCAGTGATGCCATAGCACCAAAAAAGGTAGGAGTGAATCTTTCAAAATTAGTTTCATTTAATCTGAGATCAAGGTTGAAATCACATTATTTTATGTTGGAATGGAGAGAATTAGACTGAAATGCCCTACCTGGAACTCTGCATTTTGTCAATTTCAAAGACAAGTTCAGCTCACATATAAAGGAATTTTAATTTTAATTGTAGATGATCTTTATAATCACGTGAGTGTGCAAACCAGTTTCTCCAGGGAAAGAAAGAACATAAACTTACGGCACTTCAAACAGTGTTGGATAATTGCTCATGAGAATGCTTTTTTTCTAAGGAATACTTTGCAGAAAACAACTGTGTGTGCAGTTAATTTCCATGGAGTAGCTGCTGTGCTCTACCTTTTTTTCCTATAGCAATGCTGAGCCTGAGGAAGCTTTGGCTGTGTCATAGGTTATATGAGGAACATTCTGGGTGATCTCTGGCAAATGATTTCACTATGGCATGCCTCAGTTTCCCTTTAATTTGTAGGATATTGAGAACAATATCTTATGAAGCCCTCACGAGTTCTGCTAATCAACAGTGCTTCAGCAGAGCCAGGTAGTGCCATTAATCATTATCTGAATGTCCAGTATATTTGTCTGAGTAAACTTTTATTAAGATCGGGTACAATGGCTTAAGGTGAGTCAGATTTTACACTGGCAGGAACATAGCTACATTTTTTTTAATAGGAAAAAATTGCTTTCCACTAGATCTGTTAAACCAATGTGTTTCACCTCTTGACAAGGTATTGAGTCATCCCCTGCCTGGAGGAAAGCATTTAAATTTTCAATAAATGGTCATTCTGCCCTGTTGGAGAGCCAGATTCACTTTTCAAGACTCCATACATCGTTTCTTGGTTGGACAAATGTTGGCAGAGCAGAAGTGGCCCTTAGAGTGAAGAGGGGAGCAGATGAGTTGCATGTCAGGGCATTCAGAGAATAATGCTGACAGGTTCCATCCTCTGCTCAGGACAATTATGTTGTGATTTAGGATTTTTCTATAAATTTAGGTCTGGGTCTGAGGAGCTTTCAGAAGGGATGGAAGCACAAGACCTGTAGTTCACTGCTTGCTAGGCAGATAGGCAGTTGGCCCATGTAGATGATCCCATGGCCTTGTGTCCCATTGCTTCTGTAAGTGAATTTGCTGCACATACCTTCTTTATCTCCCATGATGTTCTGCTTAGGGTCATCCTCCAAGATCCTCTTTTTAGTAAGCCCCTCATCTTATGCCAGTTATTCTACGTAACTCTTGCTCTTTAATCCTTCTTCCTGAAACCCCATTTCTTTTCATCTCCAGTCAGAATTGCCAGTGTTTGCTGCCTTTCCCTCTCCTTTCCAGAGATGGAAATGTATCAATTACTTCTGCTGTTCTTACAGAGGTATTGCTATTCTCTGTTCTGTCTGCTTTCAAAGTGCAAGAAAGGTTGAAATAAGTTATTTCCTCTTTTCTTGCTCCCATTTATTTTCTTTCTACACCCAGGGCTGCATTTGCTTCCATTTCTTGTCTCTTATCCCCAAGACACTTTGTTATTTTCCCTTCAGGATTTGGTTTTCTGTTTTCTACTTTTTCTCTAGAATCCCTTTCTTTTCCTTCTTTCTTCTTTCCTATACTATCCTTTGGCAAATAATTCAATAAGGTGTTTGCCTTCCCTGTGTGGGAAAGGTGGCAGAGCCAGGACGAGTATATTGTTGTTCTTGAAGGTGCAAGTAGGACTTCTTGGTTTCCTGAAGGTAAGTCGTTGGTAGAAAGTACTTCTAAAGTAGCTCTGAAAACAGATGGATCCTGAGAGAGTAGTCCTGTGTCTATGCCTTGGATCTCCTATTCAGTCTTTAATTGCTTTTTTATTTTGCTTGGTGTGGAAGGGTCATCCATAGTTCCATCCAATGTGGCTAAATGTTACTTGTGAGAAGAATTGTATAATTTTTTTATTTTTTTTTTTTATGTGTGTCTATGTCTTGGTCTAGTGTTTTCTTAAGATTTACTAATAATTTACTAGTATTTTTGATTTTCAGAATTATTTTAAATGTTGGTTATTACAGATAATTTCTTCAATACTTTAAAAATAGACACTATGCAAAAAATGAGTGGGACATGTTAAATGGCCTAAAAATTGGACAAGTGTTGAATTCCAAAACTATTTTAAACTTAAGTCTAGCAGGAAAAGACAAAGAAAATATTGTACTGAAAGCTGAAGTTTTCTCTCTCTCTCTCTCTTTTTTTTTTTTTTTTTTTTTTTTTAGGTAAATTCAAATTCATCAAAAGCTGCACATTTACCTTATGAGAGTAAATATTAGTTGTGACAAGTGTGTGTAGTAATGTGAAACATTTTTCCCTGAATTACTGTTCGACCTCTGTTAGTGCAGGAAGTCAGAATACATTGTTCTAATAGTCCTTTTGGCTTTAGAATCTGGGAATTTTTGACTCTGTGAGATGTCTCTTTTTCTTCTATTTTTAAATTAAGCATTAGTCTAATTCCTGAACCTACTCGAGAACCATGTTTTCTTATGGCCTTTGATTCACTGACTTTAAATCAAAAATGTCCTCCCTCTCATGCAGTGACCAGTACTAAGTATACTAGGATATTTTTTCTTGAAATAGAGAACTTGTGCAAGGGGAAAATACAGTTGTGATTCTGAGAGAAAATGAGAAAATTCAAAAGAAATGCCTTAAAGAAAGCTACTGTGGGAAGTATCTGTCTGTCTCTTGGAGTAAGTACTGAGAATTAGAATAACTCTTGAAACAAAAGAAATTTTTTAGATCTATCTGTTTTGCCTGAAGGTGCAAAGGGATAAGAACCAGGTATGAGTAGAGAAAGAGT